TATGAGAACTTGGTGCCAGATCAAGATAGCAGCTTCTACCTGATAAGTTTGAATCTTCTCATTACCTGTTTGCTGAAGAATATACCGTAGGGAGAAGTTTTATGTTAATCACTTCTAGGAGTTAAAGGGTTAACTAGAAATAAAAAATTTTTCATTTCAATCAAGTCAAATAATTTGAAATCAGTCAACTGACTGATGAATGAAGATGATAGGGAATTTGATGAAAGCTCTACTGAGCAAGTTAACTGAGTGTTATATAGGATTTCCTCTCAGCTCCATACTACCCTAAAACAAAGAAGCAATTAAGGCAACCTATTATTTTTACTATGATTTTTTTTTATGCAAGAACTGTGTACACATTGAAGAATGGGGCTTTGTAGAAATCTTACCAAGTGTTAATCTAGCTTGCTGGTAGCTTAGCTCATACATTCATGGTTTTCTTTTGGGTTAATTGCTGTGTAGTCCCCTAAATGAACATATGTTCACAAGGCTACCTTAAAGGGGAACACCATGATCATGAATATCCATCATACAATAAAGAGGTGAATTATGAAATGATAGTCATAAATTAAAAAAGTTTGAATTTAGCACTAGCACATCCACAAGATACTGGTAAGTAAATCCACTGTTTCCTTGGAAAGTGTCTGTATTACTGACTTTGTTTTTGTGGAGGGAGGATTTAAACTTTGACCCTTAAGTGTGAAAGCATATAATTTCTCCTTACATTATCACCTCTAATTCATACATAAAAGTTATGAGAATAATGAAAAATGGTCATCAATGCAATAAGTTCTTGATTGTTAAACAAATTTTCCTCGTCAGCACCTTAAGAAATGTTTAGAGAAAGAATGTAAAATGTACATACTGATGTTAGGGTGTAAAGAGTTGACAGGGTGACAAGAATGAAACATCAAACTCAGCCTGCATGTGATACTTGGTCAAGGAATTGTGACCAAGCTCCAACATAGGAAAGTGAAAGCTGTCATCAGGGTGCTTTCTCTGCTAGAGGATTTCATAGCTAGTATACAGGAAAACAATTCAATTTTAGATCAATCAACCATTCACAAAGTTTGTAAAAACAGATTTAGATTTGAGGTAAGGTAGGTGCACATTTTCATATCACTGAGATAACCTTGTCACTTTTTTCTTTCCTGTAGTAATCAAACTCAGCCTCTGTACCCTTGCAGTCATCCACTCATTTTGAACCAGAAAACACATTTGTGTGAACCACCATGCCCATGGGTGATGCTGACAAAAGCAGAAAAATTTGCCTTGCTAGTCGTTGAAAGCTTTTCTATTGCTGTTAATTTGTTGGGTTTTGTCATAATATTGTCAACTTGGATGCGGATTAAGAAACTGTGAGTTTAATGTCAATGCTGTTGCCCTCTCCTTTTTTTTGTGCAGAATTGTATCATGTTTATTTAATAGTATAACTTTAATTGTAATTTTCTTTCTCTGCAATGTTTTTTTCCTTTATAGTGACCTATTGGTCATAACTCTCTGTAATTCTTAAATTACATTTTAATTGAACAATATTCTTTTGGATTCAGAGATATAAATGTAATAAATAACACCCAAAAATTCATTAGAAAGGTTTGATGAAAATAAACAAATGAATGAAAATACAAGACTAGCTCTGGATACTTGCAATACCAACAAACTATTACCTCTTGCTGTTCACAATACTGTATTCACAGGAGTACAATTATTGAGAAATGCCATGTTTGACAGAACTGTTTTCTTTGCTATATTGTCAGGAGATGTTTTCCGCATATAATTCCTCTTTACATTCAAGGCCTATCATCAGCCATTGGTAAGTTTATTTTGATCAACCTTAAGTACTTTCATTTTATTTCAATTGACTAACCTTAAACTCCTGTAAGTGACTGAGGCAGAATTTCTCATTACAATATCTGTACAATGTAAAACACTCAGACGAGTGATGAGAATAAAAATTATCAATAGTAATAGCATACGAATTGTCTGACAGACAGCAAGGAGAATTTTCAATGAGACCTTGACATTGAAAGGGTTAAAAAGAACAAACAGCAATAATCTATTTACCAATAAATAAGAACACTCAAACATGAATGAAAGTGATCCTCACAGTGATGTGCACTACTTGGGAAGTAGTGAAAATAAGGCCTGAAAAAAATTCAGGTCTGTACAGGATTTGAACCCATGACCTCTGC